GAGGCCACCCTAAAAGCCTCTATCCTTCTCGGGGAGCCTGGCAAGCTACCGAGAGTGTTCCGCCCACATGGCAGAGCATGGCATACTATCTGTGGTGTATTCGATATGCCAAAACCAGTAAATACAATGGTTCTCATTCCCCTGATCCTGAAAGAGCCACCAATATGGCAGCATTAAGAAGGATGAGGAATGAGAGGCTGCAAAAACAAAGGACAAAAATGACTGTCTTTATTTTCAATGCACGTACGCTGGCATCGGATGCATCCATTGAGGACCTGATGTGCAAGCACAAAAGATCAAGTTACCTTACCAACAATGCAGAAATCCATGAGTCCATGCAGGTTAAAAAACAAATGAACAAATGGAGAAAGAACTGGTCTTCCTTAGAGTAGAATATTATTCAAAGTATAAGCAATGATGAACTCACCATTTGAGAATCAGGATAATAACTGAATCAGGCAAATAATGTTAATGACCTAAAACTAACACTGACAGTTGGTAAGGAACAGGACATTTACACAGGTCTCAAAGAATCTCCCCACAAAGTCCATTTTATTTTATTTTGGCTATTTGGGTCACACCCTGCAATGATCAGGGTTACTCCTGGCTCTGTGCTCAGGGTTTAATCCTGGTGGTGCTTGGGGGACCATAGGGGATGTTGGGAATTGAACCCAGGTTGACCGCATGCAAGGCAAACACCCTCTCCATTGTGCTATCATTCCGGTCCCACAAAGTCCATTTTATAACTTTACAATGAAAAAAAACCCTACAGATACTAGTCCCAACAAGAGATCCAAGCAAAGGGAATGGGGCAGTTTGACATCATGTGTCTCCTAATGGCACTGTGAGAACACAGAATCATTTCTGAGGTATTTCTGATGTAAACAAAATTTAATGAGGAAAAATTAGGTGACCCTAATTGAGAGACATTCTACAAAATACTTAGTGTCTTAGTGATAAAAGATTTAAAAAAAAAAAATTTGCAGCACAAGGACTTAATGCAGAGCCCGGCAGCTTGCAGCAGAAAAGTGAATGGACTATACGTTAATCCACGCTACCATGCCTGCCCGGAGGGGAAAGGGTGTTGCTTCCTTCTGCCTTTTTCCCTTTGGAAAGAAAGATGGCAGCCACTTTGGAGCTTTATGGAAAGCCAGGTATGAGCCGGTCGTGATGGGGAGACTGAAACCTCATGGGAAGGGGGGCGTTCCCGGCTTGTCCTTCACGCCCTACCAAGGTCAGGAGTTGCCCCCCACAAGCGGCTCTCCAGCACGGCCATGGCTCCAGAGCACAGAAACCAATCTCATAATTATCTGACTCTCAGCAGAAATACTTCCAGGCTTAATAAATAAAATACCAGAAATCGCGGCCGCGCTACATCATTTGATTCTTGTGACCAGCTGTAGAAAACAAATTATTTCACAATGCCTTTTCAGCATGTCTGATTTGGGGGTGTAAACTCTAAATAATAATGGTGCATCTTTTGTCGAAACAATGAATCTAATCAAAGTAGATAAGAGTGTTAACTAGAATTCATCTGCCTCACAGGCATTGGGTGGGTTGGGGGGGTGGTTATTGGGGTTCTTTGTGGTGAAAAATAAGTATTGGTAAAGGGAAATGTGTTTGATATTTGCATGACCGTGACTTAAACCTGAAAGCTTTGTAACTTTTCCCACAGTGATTCAATAAATAAATAAGTAAATCATTTAATCACTTAATCACTTAATCCCCATTATTCATCGATTTACTCGGGTGCCAGTAACGTAAATAAATAAATAAATTTGCAAGTTAAGAGATAAGAGTCAGGACAATACGGGATGAGGAAGGATCATTAGTGGATTAATCAGAAAAATTTCAACATGATTTGTAGAATGCATGTCTATCTTAATTCCCTGATTTTCAATGCCATATTGTGATTATGTAGGCATGTGCTTGTTTAAGGAAGTATCACTATTTAGAAAGTAGAGGGACTTCATGTCTGCAATTACCTCTTATTGGGTGAATATATCAAATCTATAAATGTTAACTGGAATTTCTAGTACTGAGGTTGTGCACACCATAGAATAAAGTAAAGTAAAAGTAAAGGCCCTCCCGTTGATCATCGATTTGCTCGAGCGGGCCCTGTAACATCTCCATTGGAGACTTTGTTGTTACTGCGTCTGGCATATCGAATATGTCACGGGGAGCTTGCCAGGCTCTGCCGTGCGGGCTCGATACTCTTGGTAGCTTGCCGGGCTCTCCGAGAGGGGTGGAAGAATCGAACTCAGGTTGGCCATGTTGGCTGCGTGCAAGGCAAACGCCCTACTGCTGTGCTATCGCTCCAGCCCTACCATAGAATACTCCCCTTATTTAGGATCGCCCTAAATATTCCTTGATATAATATAAAAGTTTCTCAAGCACCTGTATATTCTTTTTTCTTTTTTTGCTAGAGGGGGTGAATGCCAGGGATGGAATCTAGTCTCAGACACAGAAAGCACTCTATTACTGAGCTACAGCCCTTGCTACTGTTCTTATTTTGAATTTATGCTACTTAGACATCTTTCTAAAAACTTTTAATTAGTTGCTGATATATCCAGAAATACAACTGGTATCTGCATATCTATTAATGTGGCAAGTCTGCTGAACTCTAGAAGTTACTGTATTGTCAACATACATAATCAACACATCAAAATAAATTTGTTGGTAAAGAAAAACTCAAAAGAATTACACTGACTATACCTTTCTACAAAAATGCAGCTGAGGTCATTCAGAGACATTTTCATAGTTGTACAAACACTGTCAAGTACCACTGTTTTAAATAGGAATAGTGCAGCTATAGTATTTTAAATCACAAGCAGAAGTAGTTATGATTATATTTGCTTCTGAAATTTCTAGGTCCAATGATTCTCAGCTTTCTTAACTCCTGTGAACTGCTACCTGTCCATGGACTAGGGTAGAAACTGACGGCTCTGGGCATGGACACATAGTGGTTGGCTTAGAGCACCTGCCTTGCAAGTGTATGATCATGAGTTAAAATCCCCGTTGTCCCACTTGGGCTGCATCATTCTGTCAGCTTTGCTGTTTGAACTGGCAATTCTACACACCACACACACACACACACACACACACACACACACATACACTATTTAAAGCACCATAAACAATTTCTGGCCAAATCATGGCAAGATGGAAACACAAAAAGGGTGCAACCTCTGACGCACATTAGTACTATAACCACCAGCAAACACAATCATAACTCGTGTCAACAAGAGTGTGACCCCTGGTGAGAATGCATATAAGCACAACTGAAAAGGATACACACCTTGGTAATCCCTGCAAGTTGACTGTGCAAGTACCACAACCAGGCATGCGCACATAGCCCCTCACTACAAGGATGAAGAGAAGTGGAAGGTAAAATAATTATTTTAAAACACAAAAATTTTCATTAAAAAAACCCCAAAACTACTGCTCCAGTCAAGAAGTCCTCACAAAATGCGTATCTTCGTAGCAGCTTTATAAGAATATATTGCCTAATCAGGGTAATTTAAAATATTCACAAAATCAAATTATGTCCTCAGAATGTGAAACAAGGGCTGGAGTGACAGCACGGTGGGTAGGGCGTTTGCCTTGCACACAGCCGGTCAGGGTTCGATTCCCAGCATCCCATATGGTCCCCTGAACACTGCCAGGAGAAATTTCTGAGTGCAAAGCCAGGAGTAACCCTTGTGCACCTCCAGGTGTGACCCAAAAAGAAAAAAAAAAAGAACGTGAAACAAGCCTATGGAGTAATGACCAGCCCCTTCACATGCCTTGTCAGGGGCCATTTTTGGAAGGCTTGGTTCCAGGATCAAACCTGGGCCAACCACATGCAATACAAACACCCTACATGCTGTTCTATCTGGACTCTCAGCTCCCTTTCATGTGCCACAGATATACTCCATGGTGACTGGAGACTGCATTACTGGACAGCGTGATACTGCATACTGTAGGAAGCAGTAATAGCTTCTTGGGAGGTATTTGCATAAAGAAAGCATTTGTTCCCTGATGGCTTACGCTGGGTGAAATGCCAGAGAGCTCCAGATCCAAAAGCCAAACTCAAACTCTAACACATAAAGCTTGAGGGAGATAGAGAAGCGAGCTGATAAGATGATGGCATTATTTGAGTTGTCTCATTAAAAGAAAATCTGAAGGAATTTTTTAAAAAAATATATTTTCTAAGCTGTCAAAGGTAAACTTTAGGCTATGCATATTTACCACAACAGGAAAAACATAAAGTGTTTTTTTCTTTTTTTTTTTTTGGCTAAACACTATTGCTAAACATTCCCTAGCATTACACAGTAATAGCACAGTTGCTAAGAGACCTTGCCATCAGGATCTGGGATATGACTTAGTGGGTCAGCGGAATGGTTTGCATTATGTGAGCCACTTAATTTCACTCCAGTACCACATACAACAGCAACAAAAACTGACCATCACAATCTGACTTAGATCTAACTATTGTATCTACAGGACCTGCCGCACATCAATTAACTATAAGCCTCATTCTTCTTCTCACAGAGAACACCTTAGAGATTGCTATGATCCTGAAACAATTGATACAAGAACTAAGCGGCGTATGTAGCACACAGAACTCAACAAATGTTAGACCTTACTTCCTCTTCAGACTTTCTTATCAATACAGTTCTTTTCTATTGTGTAGAATGAGGACTGAAAAGAAGAACAGAGCACAAAACGGCAGATTGTTTATTTCTCCCCAGTCCATAATGTCACACAGAGCTACATTCATTCTATGTCGTAGTCAAAGGTGTATGAGCCTGAGTGTTGACCACTAAACCAATGGTTAAATAAACCTTTGCATCTCACATACTTAAGAGGCAGTAACTTTAGAGAAGTCATAAGAATGTGAAATAATTTAACAGGTTAATATATATATATTTCTTTTTATCAAGTATAACAAGGTCATACAAAAGTATTTACTACAAATTGAATTCACACGTACATAAAGAGGCTGTTTAATTTTTGTCCCTTTTATATCCTATTTTAGGCACAATGACTGGACCCAGAAAAAAATGAAAGAACTGCTTTAGTTCTAAACATTGGGAATTTTACAAATGAAATAGATCCAAATATTCTTTATCAAATTCCAAAGAGACCTATGAACTATACTTTTAGAATCCACTTAAATAAATCTTTGCATGATTCAGATGAAACATACATTGTCAGTGGTTAAAGTCCAGGTTAAGATAAAGGTACAGGTAGAAGATGCACATAAAATTATTCATAAATGAAAATATTTTATACAAAAAGTATAGCTTTAAAAATGCAGAAAAAATCAAGAGGAAATGTATTGAATTTAAAACATTTTGGACCATCTTATAAAATTTGTGTAGAACAAGTTGCAGGGGTAAAAAAAATTATTAAATGTATTACAACTACCTAAAGTCAAATAAGACATAACTGAGCCACATATTTTAGAAACAGCTTAAGTGCATTTTCTTTGTACAATTCAACTACCACATGTAAAAACAGGTAACTGAAATGCAGTTACATATGTATTTGCAAGTCTTTTGGACAAAATGCGAACATTAAAAAGTGAATTGCTAGCCAAATTAAAAAAAAAACAACAGATTATATACATACTATTAAAGCACAGATGGTCAAAGCTGTGCTAAAAACTTGTGGGGAAAAAAAAAACAATAATACCAAACAAAGGTCTTTCAGGCACTTGCATTCAGAAACATTCTTTTTCATAAATACTTATTTTCACTTCAAAAAATAAAGTTGCTTTTTCCCAATTGCACCTATTAGTTGAGCACTATATCATATATTAGGGATGCATTTAAATGGACCATTTTAGGGAGGGCAATCAACTAAACTCTTTAAAAAAATGACTCCACCTATTTATTCACAACTTCAAAAATACAGATTTAAAGATAATTTTCCAGGAAGGCACCGTTTCAGCCCTATCAAAACATTCTACCATGGATAAGACCATACAATACAATGAATGACAGCAAGCAAAATCCATGATCCTGCAATCCTATACAAAAGGGACCTTCCCATCAAAACATTTTTACAAAACAAAGATAATACCACAAAACAACAGAAGAAAAGCTGGATTTTGACAGCCCTACACAAACTGTGGAACTTCATCTTCAAGGTCTTCAAATTGCTGCATTCGTTTTAGTCTTGGTCTCTGACAGGGTGGGTGAGCATCAGGCAAGTTATGGTCCTCCGAGTTCTCTTTAGGTTTACTAAGCGGCTGCACAGAACAAATGGATGTGTTTTCAGAGTCTGGAACTAGTCTCAGCACCTGGCCCTGGGCAGCGGGAGCTGTGCCAGGAGGCACTGCTGCAGTCACAGGTTTCTCCTCCCCAACTCTCGCAGTGCCAGTGGGAGCATGTGGTTTGTAAAATGTTGTCCAGTGCTGAGGCTGCAGTGTTCTGGGGGCTCTGATGGCAGCCACGGGGCAGGAATCGGAGGCGCGTCTTTCAGACACTTGTTTTGCTGACCTGACAGGCTCCATGCCTGGCTTGCTGGGCTGGGGAGCACTGACAGGATGGTCCCCACTGAGCCTGATGCTCATCACTCCTCTTTCCTGGAGGGAGCTGGACAAAGCCATCGGAGTCTTTGCAACTGGGTCGTTTTGTTCAGATTCTCTTTCCCAGAGTTTTGGTTGACTCTGTAGGTCGAAGTCATCAAAGTTGGAACAAAAAATAGTAGGGGTATCTTTTCTATTAAATCCTTGAGAGGCAGGAATTCCTTCAACGGTAGGAATCTTGGAAAACTTTTCTGAATTTACATTTCTTCCATTTCTCTCGTTAGGAGGGTTTGAAAGGAGTAGTAGTCTATCTACAGGCAAACTTACAGGTCTCATCTTGGTCCTTGGAATATGCCTCCCAACCGAGTTTATTTCCCTATCAGATTTCAGAGGGAGTTGTTTGGACATTTTACAGACTGTTTCCATCTTTTGTGCTGCTGATTCAGGCTCCTCATCTGCAAGCAAATGCACGGAGTCTAAAAAAAAAAAGAGAGAACATGAAAGAGTTATAGATGAACAGCCAACCCAGAGGTTCAACACAGTTTTTCCATGTTATACTGTTTTCTGGGAAGAAAAAAAATATTCAGAGTACTAAAGGTGCAGTTGGTGAAAAATGCCTGCCTGCCTGCTGACCTCTCCCTAGGCTGTCAGGGCATCACTGCCTTGTCTTGGTTCCCCTGATCCTTCCCACAATTAATGACCATTCTAAGAGGGACCAGAGAGATATAGTACAGTGGGTAGGGGGCTTGCCTTGCACATGGCCAACCCATGCTATATCCCTGAAAAATGTTAGAATTGATTCAGGTTCGATCCCTGGCACCCCACATGATCTCCCAAATCTGCTGGAATGATCCCTGAGTACAGAGCTGAGAGTAAGCCCTAAGCACTACCAGGTATGGCCCCGAAACCAAAAGAAAACAAAAATACTGTTCAAGCACATTTTTTTTATGAACTGTGTAATAGTAACTATTTGTTATTAGATGAGCTGTCCACGACAATTTCAATAGGCAGATACTGTCAGCACCATGTCATCAGAAACCGCCTGCCTGCCTGCTAACCTATCCCTGGGCTGTCAGGGCATCACTGCCTTGTCTTGGTTCCCCCGGTCCTTCCCACAATTAATGACCATTCTAAGAGGGACCACAGAGATAGTACAGTGGGTAGGGGGCTTGCCTTGCACATGGCCAACCCATGCTATATCCCTGGTACTCCATATGGTTCCCTGAGCCTGTCAGGAGTGACCCGAGTGCAGTGTCAAAAGTTAAGCCCTGAGCACTGCCAGGTGTGGCACCCCCTCACCCCCTGCCAAAAAAAGGAGCATCCTAAGGGACACAACTCATCGTGGTCAGGCTTTCAGTTCTGCTTCTGCCCATTTATACTAAGCAAGGCCACCTCACTACAAGTCTTCACCTGCCAAAATAGAATCATAATCACATATATGCTAAGTGCAGCCCAATGATCTGAACAGAAACAAGCCCAGAATGACCTACAGTAATATATCTAGAGGTATACAATAAACACTTAAAAACAAGATCTTGGGGGTATGGTGCTGCCAGCAAGTCAGTCTGTACCTGTGAGGCGAATGCATCAGTGGCCTGATGGCACTTTCAGACTTCCAAATACCCCAAAATTGCTGCTGTGCCTTTGGCCAGACCCCAAAAACTTGGGGCAAAGTTTACTAAGAAAGTAAACGGCCAAAAGTTAGGTATGTGGGAGACACACCCACAAACCACCTCTGGCTCAGCTATATACTTGGAGGCATGGCCTCTCCGGTTCCTGATCAAACTGCTTAACGGCCATGATCCCAGAGACTCAGAAACAAATCTGGAAACCCAACAACTTTTGGCAGAAATGCATCCAGTCCCTGCAGTAGGTTACTGGAGCTTGGTCACCCCAGGTGGGAATAGGTTTCGTGCCTTGGCCTTTTCCCCCTGGCGGCCCAGTGACCGCCATCCTCCAGAGGCCACTGGACAGTCAGGTTTGTGCCCACAGTGAAGAGACACGTGGGGCCTCAAGGGATGGGAGTGGAGATGGCCCTTTCCTCCCTATTCCAGCTAGACCCCGAGTCACCACCCACGAATGGCCTCTCTGGCTCCTGATCAAGTTGCTTAACAGCCATGATCCCAGAGACTCAGGAACAAATCTTGGAACCCAGCAGGTTTTGGCGAAATCCCTCCAGATTTGTTAAAATTTCGGAATTTCAAAATCATGCGGTCACTACTGCAGTCGCACGACTTCCTATGTTATTCATAACCAGAAATAGAAAACAAATTGTCTACTGTTGCCTTTTCAGCAGATCTGAGTGCTGGGGTAAAATCCCAAATAATAATGGTGGGTCTGGTGTCAAAATATTGAATGTGATCAAAGTAGAGAGAGAGTAATGTGGAAATCATCTGCCCCACAGGTAATGGGGAGGGTGTGGGATGTATACTGGGTATACAGGGGTTTTGGGGGGTATACTGGGGTTTTTGGGGGTGGAGAATGGGCACTGGTGAAGGTACAGGTGTTTCATTGTATGACCGAGACTTAAACCCGAAAGCTTTGTAACTGCTTTCATGGTGATTCAATAAATAAAATTATAAAAAATGAAAAAAAAACCCAAAAAAGTTAAGGTGGAGTTCATGCCCAATTTAATCAAATCAGTGGCTGAATAAATAGCAGTACTCCTACATTAAAAAAAAAAAAAAAGATCTTTTGGTTTTTTTGCTTTTTGTTTTTTTACACATGGTGGTACTGAGGGCTTACTCCTAGCTCAGCATTCAAGAATCACTCCTGGTGGGGCTTGGGTTTTGGGAACCATACAGAGGTGCCAGGATTGAACCTGGATCAACTGTGTGCAAAGCAAATGTCCTACCTGCTGTAATACAACTCAGGTTCCTAAGATGCCAAGAGGACTATAAAAACATATATTCTTTAAATGCTATATATACCAAAAGGCAACTTGAATTGACTAAAGATCTGTGTGCTAACAAAGGTCTTTTTTTTAAACAAAGTAATTCACTGTATGTTTCAGATCACTACAGAAACTTACTACTTTGACTTTTCTCAACTCCACTCACTTAGACATTTAACCACTTTGTCTGCAGTTTTAAGTCAGCAAACTTGACATGGTCACATGTTACATGGCTACTCACCAATGAAAGATGTATCATGCTTTTCTAATACATTTTGCTTGCGTTCTGACTCCTCAAATAATGTCACTGGTTCCAAATTTTTACTCTCACTGACTGAAGTACGGATATCCTGTTGATGGAAGAGAATTTTTAAACTTGAAGAAGCAAAATGCACCCCAAAAGAACATTTTAAGGATTTCTATTTTATTATATAAATATCACCAAGTGGTGTACAAGTCCATAAAGGTTAAAACTCACTTCCTTTGAAGAGAAAAACAGTGGCTTCATGGAATGTTCTGATTCTCTCTCTTCCGGTGATAACAGAGGCTTTGGAGAGCAACTCTGATCAGCGTGAGGTACAACAACCCCAGGACTACACACAACATCCTGCGGCTGCAGAGACCCATCGAAGATCTTCAGTGAGTAAGTAATAAGGAATTCGACCAGTCGTGCTTGATTAGAATATTCAGCAAGAGAGGAGATGGTGACAGGGGCAGTGGTGGGCCGAGGCCTAATGAGACTTGGTCCAAAGATGACCCCCAGGTTTTTGGAGTTCATCTTATTTTCTTCTGAATGATCTACAACCCTGTGAAGCAAAACATACGAAGTTATTTGAGATCTAATTAAACTTCTCTGACCTTAGTTCACTATGAATTGGGAAGGGCTCAGGAAAATGGGTGACAGAAATCTAGGAAAATCACATGATGAATTTTAACTACATCTAATTGGGTTTTACAATTTCAGTATAAAATATAAGTATAAGGAACTATTGTGGCTTTGCCACAGAAATTTGGAAATAACCCTAAAAACTGCTCTCATCTTATTATGTATAGTATATCCTCCCAGATCATTTCTGCTGGAAACATACATTATTGTTAATTTCTCTCACTGGCCACAGAAAGTCTTTAAGCCCAGCTGACCTGTTCTCTCAAAGATCTCTTCACTTGCGACTTCCACTGCGATGGCCTGACCTCGACCTCTCATTCCCTTTTATTTCTCTGACTATTCAAGAAGTTCTACACTGTAGTACAGGCGCTCTCCTCTGAATACTACCCACTCTACTGCCAGAAAAGATAAAATAGGCAATTCTGGAAAAGATAAAATAGGCAATTCTGGGCATATTACAGTCCTGGCTCAAAATTATTTAGTGGTGTGTACAAAAGAAAGAATCTACCAAGTAAGATTTTATCAGCCATCAGCTTTATCCAGCTCAGCAAGCTCAGTTCCTGCTACTGCTCACTATTTCCTAGCCAAATAAGCCCACATGTACATTTACGTTTCCATGTCGCTTATACTCTGCCTGGAATGTTCCTTCTGTATATTTTCTGTCACAAAGTCACTACTTGGTTCTTTTAAGTTTGGCTCCAGGTTACCCACAAATTCATCACCTTTCCTCCCCTGCTTCTTCCTCTATGCACCGAGCACAGCTCTGTAAGAAAAAGAATGATGCTGTGCTGCATGAATTTTTGTGTCTGCTCCCAAACTAACGAGCACAAAAAGATGACAGAAACCTTTCATTTTTCATCCTTCTTTCTCCCTATCCAGAGGCTCATCCATAGGAGGCAGCTGAGGAAAGATGTTGGCTGCAGGGAGCTATGTATTCATATCTTCCTGCCCAAATAAAAAAGTGTTTATTTTAAATGTTTCTTTGTGCAGGTTGGATCACACCCATCAGGGCTCAGAGATGACTCCTGGTGGAACTGGGAAAACTTTTGAGGTATCTGGGATGGAACTATCATTAGCCCCATGACAAGATAAGCACCTTAAACCCAGTAATATCTCTAGGGTGCCTAAAGTGTTCATTCTGAAACCCATACAACAACGTGAGGGACTTAACACTAAGTGAACTGTAATCATAAAATGGTCAAGATGGCAAATTTTATGTTGTATTCACAGCTTAAGAAACCAAAACTCGGGATGGAGCAACAGCACAACAGGTAGGGCGTTTGCCCACATTCGATTCCCAGCATCCCAATGGTGCCCCCAGACACCACCAGGAATAATTCCTAAGTACATGAGCCAAGATGCTGGGAATCGAATGTGTAACCCCTGTGCATCGCCAGAAGTGACCCAAAAAGAAAAAAGAAAAAACAACCAAAAACCCAGAATAGTCTAGTGGATGTTCCTCTTTAAGTTCTTACCGAGGGGCACAGTGACAGTACAGCAGGTAGGGCTCTTCCTGTGCACACACCTGACCTGGGTTGGATTCACAGGTCCCCTTGGATTCCACATGGTCCCTGATTCCTAACAGGAGACCTCAGAGCCAGGAATAAGTCCTGAGCACAGTCAGGTGTGGCCCCAAAACAAGCAAAACAAAAAAGTTCTTACCGTTTAAGATGTGCTAGAAGGAAATGAAGACTGTTAAAATTTGATGCTGGCAATTGTCTTAGGAGGTCCTTGCTTTTTAGAAGAATTCGGTTTATTTCTATACAAGTGCTTGACCATTTTCTGTCCTCAGAGACACCTTTTTTTGTCTCCTGCTCTTCATTTACACGATGGATCTCTTTTGCAAGGTCTATAAATTCCTTGTACAATCGGAATAAAATAAACGGTTCTGGGAGCTAAAGAAACAAAATTACATTAGGATTTCATTCTATCCATTTTATTCCCCCTCATTAACAATAAACTAGGGAGCCGGAGCTATAGTACAGTGGGGATGTGGTCACCTGGGCTTGATCTCTGGCATCCCATATGGCCCCCCAAGCACCATCAGGAATAGTTCCTGAGTGCAGAGTCAAGAGTAAGCCCTGAGCATTGTTGGGTGTGACCCTAAAAAAAACCCCAAACAAACCAAAAAAAAAATCACACAAAAAAACCATCAACTGAAATGAGGCTGGGAGATAGCTCACAGGGTTTGAGTGTATTGTAGAGGACTGGAATTTGATTCCTGGCACTGCAAAGACCCTTGAACCAGGGATAGCCTTGGAGGATCCCCAAGCACCACAGGCTACATTCCTGGAGGAGTAGGAAACTGGTGGCCTGGGTGATCCTGGCACTGCAGAGCTCAAGCTGCACTGCATCAACTAGCCTGAGTACAGAACCACCCTTTGGCCAGTACTACTAAAAGCAGTCCTTAGGCACTGGAGTAATAATATGCTGGGCAGGGCGCTGGCCTTGCACATCACTCAGTGATCCAAATGAGTATGCTCTCTGACATAACATACAGTCTCCTGAGCACCAGCAGGAGTGATCTCTGAGCAAAAAGCCAGGGATAAGTCCTGAGCACTGTCAGGTGCTCAAGTAAGTAAAAGCAACCCTTAGCACAGGAGGCCCAACCCAGTCTCTTCCCCATCCCATAAAAATAATCAACTAAACTGCTACTGGATAACTTTATTTCTTAGATTATCAAGATGTAAAGTCAAGTCATGTTTGGATGTTTGGAAATATACATATTTGCACAATCTTCAATGGTCTTACTTAAAGCCCAGAAAAATGAGCAAAGTACATTAGAAGAAGCTTATATTCTGAATTTTATAGGTTTCGATAGCACAGCAGGTAGGGCGTTTGCCTTGCAAGCAGCCAACATGGCCGACTGGAGTTCGATTCTTCCGCCCCTCTCGGAGAGCCCAGCAAGCTACCAAGATTATCTCGCCATCTGGCAAAGCCTGGCAAGCTACCCGTGACATATTCGATATGCCAAACATAGTAACAAGTGTCACAATGGAGATGTTACTGGGCCTACTCGAGTAAATCAAACAATGGGAGGACAGTGACAGTGGAGAGACAGAACAAATGCTGTAGGGACCAGTGCTTTACTTAAGACAAAAAATAAAGATTAGCTTGGGCTGGAGCAATAGCACAGCAGGTAGGGCGTTTGCCTTGCACACGGCTGACCCAGTTGGCCAGGGTTCAATTCCTCTGCCTCTCTCGGAGAGCCCGACAAGCTACCGAGAGTATCTCTCCTGCACAGCAAAGCCTGGCAAGCTACCCATAACATATTCAATATGCCAAACAAGTAAGAAGTCTCACAATGGAAACGTTACTGGGCCCGCTTGAGCAAATCAATGAACAACTGGAGGACAGAGCTACAGTCCTACAGCTTGGGCTGGAGAAATAGTACAGTGGGTCAGCAGGTAAGGTGCTGGCCTTGCATGCGGCTAACCCAGGTTTGACCCCAGCATCCTATATGGTCCCCTGAGCCCAGCCAGTAGTAATTCCTGAGCACAGGGTCAGGAGTAACCCTTGAGCAACACACAATGTGGCCCCCAAACAAATAAACAAAAACGAAACAATAAAGATTAACTTCAGACATTCTGGCTCAGAAAAAATAAACTGACATCCAAATTTTAAATTCAATTTAAATTGGTCAAATTCCTTTGTCCAGCAGTCATAGGGCATTCCACCAACATCTGTCAAATATCAAAACTAGTTTTCCTGTTTCCACTTGCTCAACAGTGGCACTAGTTAGCTAATATTATGAACTATTTGTGGAGAAGTAGGTATCTGCATCTGTCTGTTGCAAAGCCTTAAAATCAATTTTTAACTCTACCACTCTGGGATCTGAAAGGAGACTGCTAAACTCTCCCAGAGGTACAGATTTCCCACATGGCATATAAGGAAAATGAAGGCTACTCTCTAAAACTGTAAGGATGGTGCACAGCATCCCATGTAAGTATCTTGGTCCCATAATATTCTTGAGACAGAATGAGCAGTGATATTAGATCTGATCCAAGTTTCCGTCCCTGACTGATTTATATTCCATAAATTTAGGATGAATCACTGTAAAATTTAGCGCTATTCAAAAGCACTTCTGTTTTTTTGGGGGGGCCACACATCAGTGCTCTCAGGGTTTACTCTTTACTCTGTGCTGAGGGATCACTCCTGGCATATATGGGAAGCTGGGGATAAACCTGGGTCAGTTGCATCCAAGGCAAGCACCCAACCCACTGTACTATCACTCTGGACCCTATTCAAAAGCATTTTGTCTCCCTTAACTGATTTCTGTAAAATGTGACTAAAGAGACCACTTAATCACTTAATCCCCGTTATTCATCGATTTATTTGAGCGGGTGCCAGTAATGTCTCCATTCATCCCGGTTGCGTGCTAGCGTAGCCCAATGGTATCTGTTTGTTCTAGGAACATGCAGGGCCTCAAACTGATCATTTAGGGTCTCGACGAAGAAGTCTGACCATCTTGTAGGTGGGCGTCCACGTGATCTTTTGATGTCCCGTGGAATCCAATCAGTAATGGCTCTAGTCCAGCGGTTGTCTGTAAACCTCATTACATGTCCAGCCCATCTGATTTTTGATGTCTTGGCAAATGAGACAGCGTCCCTGATTCTTGAGCTTTGACGAAGATCAGAACTCCGGATTCTATCTCTCATTTGAGTGAATCGTGATATTCCAAGCATAGCTCTTTCGATTCCTCTTTGAGAGACCCGAATAGTGTTCTCATCCTGTTTTCGCAGGGTCCAGGTCTCTGAGGCATATGTTAATGCAGGAAGAACAGTGGAATCAAAGAGATGTGCTCGTAGCTGGAGGTTCTTTGTCCTTTTAGTTATTTCTTCAATGCTCTTGAAGGCATTCCAAGCCGCTCTCTTCCTCCTGCGCAACTCAGGTGCCAGGTCATTCATCATGTTAATTTCTCGACCTAGGTATATATAACTGTTGCATTCGGAGATGGTGGTTCCGTTGAGAGCGAATGGAGCGTCAGGAACAAGGCTGTTTCTCATAAACATTGTCTTCGTAAGATTCAGCTGTAGTCCGACCTTTCCACATTCATGGTCAAAGTCGTTCAGCATTTGTGCTGCTTGGCTGATGTTTGGTGTTATTAGAACGATGTCATCAGCAAAGCGGAGGTGGTGTAGTTGCCGACCATCTATCTTCACTCCCATGCTTTCCCATTCCAGTTGTCGCATGATGTTCTCGAGGGTTTTGGTGAAATGGTATCACCCTGCCGAACCCCTCTCTTGATATGGATGATTACTTTTTTGTAGAATGGTGAGATCTTGGTAGTGAATCTGCAATAGAGCTCACGACGGATCCTGATGTATTGAGTCTGTACGCCCTGATTGGCTAGGGCTTCCATGACCGCTTCCGTCTCAACAGAATCAAAGGCCTTCTTTAAATCAATGAACGTTAGACAGAGCGGCATCTTGAACTCCCGAGATACCTCAATGAGCTTAGTAATCGTGTGGATATGGTCGATGGTACTGAATCCTTTTCGGAATCCAGCTTGTTCACATGGTTGTCCTTCATCTAGTGTTCTGCTAATCCTATTCAGGATGACTCGAGTGAATAGTTTGTAGATGACAGACAATAGGCAGATTGGGCGATAGTTGCCAATGTCGTGGATGTCTCCTTTCTTGTATAGTAGTACAGTCCTGCTGGTTTTCCATTGGGATGGAACCTTGCATTCAGATAGGTAGCGTGTGAAGAACCGAGCCAATGTATTGATGAGTATTGATGGTAAGTTCTTCAGGTGTTCAGGTCTGATCTTGTCTGGGCCAGGTGCTCTTTGTTTCTTTACCAACGAGGTGGCATATTGGATTTCGGAAGGGAGAACATTGGGAACGACATATCCATCATGTGGTATGTGGGCAAGTGGACGTGGCTATTAAAGAGATCTGAGTAGAAGTCATGAATAATCTTCTCCATTGTCCTTCTGGAAGATGTGATAGATCCATCATGATGTCGGAGGGCAGTCAACTTGGTTTTGTAGTTGGTGAAGGACAGGCGGGCATTACGAATGCTTTTCCCAGCTTCTACCACATCTACCAGTACTGCTGCTCTCCTGTTTTTGAGGTCATCCTTGATGGCTTTTCTGTACTGTTTTGCCAGTTCGGATGTTTGCTTGTGGTTGCCTGAGGCATGTGCCAAGCCACGTTGGCGAATAAGTTCAAGAGTTTTCGAAGAAAGGCGGTTTTTTGTGGTTATCTCTCTCTTGGCATTCCTCACACAATTATGGAGGTGCTGAATCATTCGATCGTATTCCTCATCAATGTTGTCAATGATGGCATCTTCCCATGTTGCCGCAACAGAGCCAAAGAGCTCCCAGTTGGTGGTTGTTCTGGGAGTTCTCTTCTTAAACCTTGCATTCTTTTCTCCTCGTTCTGTGAGGTAGAATTTTGCACGAAGAAGACGGTGGTCTGATCCCGTTTGGAATTTTGGGACAACAGCAACATCGGTTAGGCAAAACCGCCGATTGAATATGATGTGGTCTATTTCATTGTGGAACCGTCCATCGGGAGACTCCCATGTCCAACGTTTAGATTCAGCCTTTTGGAACTGTGAGTTACCATGGAAGGTTTTGGTTGACATGATGAACTCAGACAGTCTGTCACCCTGTTCGTTCCATTCCAGGCCATGGGTCCCGATGTGGAGTTCATCGACTGATCTTCTTGGTCCTATCTTGGCATTAAAATCACCGACAATGATCTTGTAGAAGGTGTGATCTTCTTTATAGAACTTCTCCAGCTCCATGTAGAATTTCTCAGTTTCTCTTTCACCATAACTGGATGTTGGTGCATAGACAACAAAGATAGAAACTGCCGGTAATGAGTCACATTTATTCAAGTGTAATCGTCCGATTCGGGTTGTTAGGCATTCGAATGAATCAATG